GGTCATCGCATATGCTAGCCGAGTGCTTACTTCTACCGAAAAAAACTATACCATCACTGAGCAGGAATGCCTCGCTGTGATTTGGTCCATACAAAAGTTCCGTCCTTATCTGTACGGCCGTCAATTCACCATCGTAACGGACCAACACGTCTTATGCTGGCTTTCTACAATGAAGAACTTGTCCGGACGCTTGGGTCGTTGGATTTTACGCCTACAGGAGTGTCCGTTTGAGATTATTTATAAATCGGGCAAAAAACATCAAGACGCCGACGCTCTTTCTCGTTGCCCACTACCTACGGCGTCGTTCGACACTCCAGCTGCCACCTCCAACGACACCAGTGCGGACGTAGCTCCCACTTCTGTTGCCTCGCTCGCCTCGCTGTACCAACCGCTAATCGACGATGAACAACCCTTCAGTTCTCGCCAGCAGGCTGACCCGTATTGTCGGCGCATTATAGACCACCTCTCAGGAGCTACGCGTCCACCCAATGCACGCCTTCGTCGAGAACTCGAGCACTTCAAATTTCAGGACGGTGTGCTGTATCGTCACATATATCATCCTGACGGCCAACGCTGGGTACCTGTTCTGCCACGCGCTCTTCAACATCATGTACTTAACGCCTTTCATGACGATTTGACTGCTGGCCACCTAGGCTTTCACAAAACCTACGACCGCATTCGAAGCCGCTTTTATTGGCCTGGGATTTCTACCAGCGTAGCGAAGTACGTGGGTTCCTGCTCTCCGTGCCAACTTCGCAAACTTCCGACATCTCCCCCGGCTGGTCAGTTACAGCCAATGACGTGCCCTACAACACCTTTCGAGGTCGTCGGTGTCGATCTTTATGGGCCCCTTCCTGTTACTGGTGCTGGAAATAGATGGATAGTCACCGCCGTAGACCATATGACACGCTACGCCGAGACAACTTGAGTAGCTACTGGTTCAGCATCGGAAGTTGCTGACTTCGTCCTTTAGGCCACATTACTACGTCATGGTGCGCCTCGTGTACTTCTAAGTGACCGTGGAAAGGTGTTCTTATCACAGCTTTTAGGTGAAGTTCTTCGCGTTTCTGGTACCACACACAAGATGGCGTCTAGCTACCATCCTCAAACAAACGGTCGGACCGAGAAATTTCATCGAACCCTTGCCGACATGATCGCCGTATACATTCAACCGGATCACAGAAACTGGGATAAACTTCTACCGTTCCAGACTTTCGCCTACAACACCGCTGTTCAGCGCACAACCGGCTACTCACCGTTTTATCTCGTTTACGGACGTTCACCTACTTTCTTTATCGATGTTTCCTTCTTCACCAGCAATGGCCCTCCATCACCATCTTCTTGCGAAGAATATATTTCTCGCCTTGCCCAGTGCCGCCAGTGCGCTCGTATGAACACGGAAGCTACGCAACATGCAAGGAAGGCCGTCTACGACACCTCTCATCGTGTGGTATCATTCCGACCGGGTGACGAGGTGCTGCTATTGACACCAATTCGCACACCTGTTCTCTGCGACAAGTTCCAGCCTCGATTCATCGGCCCATATGTTGTTTTAGAACAGACTTCACCTGTCAACTATCGTGTGACGCCTCTTGTCGTACCAACTGACCGCCGTTACCGCAGCACCGAAACTGTACACGTTTCCCGCATGAAGCTTTTCACACGACGTTCCTCGTCACCTTGACTACCCGCCCGCAGCGGCCAGGCTGGCCGCTTTCACGGGGGGGGGGGGGGGAATCAGCGTAGGCATCTATTATGCGCTCCATCCTCATCTGAACAGCAGTCAATCATCATCATATGTTCTGGCTGACAATCATCATCTTCTTGGAACGTGCGCTTCTTTTTCGGGTCCGTTGCGCTTGTTCGTTCCCAAGTTCACGACCAATAAACCTCGTTACAACCGAGTCGTCATAATATATGCAATATCCAAACTTTGTAATATATGCAAACTTGACTTGCAGTCCGCACATTGCACTGTTTTTATACAACAGGGTGTAGGTACCTGATGCTAAGTATAGCCTAGCTGTGTGTACTTATATTTGATTTGTTCCGATTTGGGTGCACGTAAAGAACCCCAGGTGGTCGAAACTTCCGGAGCCCTCCACTGCGGCGTCTCTCATATTCATAAGATGGTTTGGGGACGTTAAACACCACATATCAATTCATCAATCAATATTTTGTTTGTGAAGATTGACCGTGTTTTGTATTAAGGGTTGTGGCAAATAGTGGAGAAAAAAGGGGCGACTGGCACAAGCATGAGCTGGTGGCGCTGGCTCGTTTAGATGTTCCTTTGACCTTCGGCGTGGACAGACTATCGGGTCTGGATTCTCTTCGTTTCTCACACTTTGTTTTTGTGCCGAAACCTACCCGGTTGGCAGTCTCTCGACTTCGACAATGAAACAACTCCGAGTACAGCCCGGCTTCTACCGGACAGCTATCACGAAGGACATTTCGATGCTCGACACCCTTCTGGCCGACTCCACAACCCCCGCTTTCAGGCTCCAGGATCTCCTCGCAATTATCGTCGCGAAAAAACGCCCACCCAATGAACCTTGACCGAAAGATCCAGGCTTACCTTCACTACGAAGATTTGGAAGCTGACCTGGCCACAGCCAGTGACTTTAGTGACACTAAAATTCATTTGGTGACACTAAAGTCATTTGCGCTCAAGGCTCGCCGCGCAACTGAGTCGTGGCCGCCAACCCCACCAGCATCAGCTGCCGTCACTACCACTGCACCCCGTAAGCCTCTTACATTCAGATCGCAGCCCGCCGCGATGTCCTCTTTGATAAACATTTTGACCCCTCTCGCCTTGACATCGAAGCAGGCAGCTACTCCGTCTTCGTCCGGTCTGGCGGCTCCTCTCGCTTCAATGTCGGAGCAGACCGCAACTTCGTCTTAAACCACCATCTCGACTCCGCTCGCTTCGACACCGCAGCCAGCCGAGACTCCACAGCTGACCACCCTCACAAACCTTCTCGTCTGGACGTCGCAGCAGACAGCGACTTCGCCGTCAACTGGCATCACAAATTCTTTCTTCTCGTCGTCCCCGTGGGCCGCGTCATTACCTTCTCAAGGCTTCCCGACTGCGAAGTCAGTATCTGGCGGCGATCTAACACAGGCTACGCAGTTCTTCGCGCCCAAGTCTACGGACAACTTACCTCGAACGCATCCCCACCAGTTGAAGAGTTTCGAGTACACTGTGTGTATACTTGAAGAACTGTCACTGTCTACGCAATCTACGGTGCTTGGGTGCAAGTACTCGTTCAGAAGGTACGCCGTGCAGAGTTCGATGGCTAATGAAAACCCCTAGTGCACCATGTGTATCAACTGCAAAGATCAGGCTTCCCACAGCCTGAGCCGCAGCTTGGCAAGTCTATCCTGCTTTCGCGACCCAGACGACGAACTCTTGTACTACCCGTCACGCGGTACCATGAGCCTTGAGGAATTGCCCCAGAAGCAACAACACGTGGAGTGCTATTACTCTCATTACATGTTCCTCAAGCCCGATCCTGGCGGCAGGATCTCGAGTTCGTTTTCCATCAAGCCCAAGGAAGTAGACGATCTAGACAGTGAGCTGCAACGCCGCTACAAGCTGCACTCAGCCAAGTACGTGCACCCCATGACCACTTGCGACGCCGCTGAACATCACCAGAAGATGGTGCCTGACGCCACAGACCTTCGCTGGATATATGACCGTCACACCGCACAGCCGCAGTACTGCGTCATGTGCATCATGCAGGAAACCGGTGGCAACAAGGACCATCGCGAAGCGCGACACATTGTGAATAACATGCCGTCGAGAAACACCTGCTGTGATGCCACCAAACACGCCGCATCGACTGAGATTCCCGCACCAGCAAATGTCGTTCAACGCTGTCGTCCGCGATGCCAAAACGGAAAACAACAATGTGCTACCAGCAACCGCGCACGTGGACGAACCTCTGCTTTCCTCGAAAGCAGCCGAGATTCCTGTCCTTGGCGAGGTCGCCACCCGACGGAACCAGGATGCATCGGCGTTATCATTGTCCTCGTTGAGCGAGGACGAAGCTTTGTCGCGGATTTTGAAGTCTTCATGCTGGTCGGATGCACCTGCAAACCAAGCACATGCTAAAGACTACCCGACTCCCGAAGTGGACAAGCAGCAAATGACCACGCAGCACCTACAGAAATTTTGGATGCAACACCAGGAGCGGAGGACGAATATAACTCTCAAGGAGAGCGTAAACTATCGGAAAACCTTGCGAATATACGAAAGCAAATGCAGATCAGACTCATCGTACTACAAGTGACGCAAGAAGCGCAAAATTTCCGAGTATAACCTGAATATGTCAAAAACGTGACCAAGAATTCATCTAGAAACCAAAACGAGTATGATCGACCTCCTGCACAAGACAAGCCACCGCCTCCCCAAGCTTTATCGCGATTGACAAAGCGTTTTGTTTTCACTGTGTAACAACTTCGTTCGCATCTCGCTCGCCAATGTCCACGTAGACTTCTGCCGCTGCGCTCCCGAACATTGCAGCGAGTTTCTGTGGCCACGGGAGTGTGTTGAAAATAAAGGAGGATGAAGGGGCGGCTGCCACGAGCACGAGCCGGTAGCGCTGGCTCATTCAGTTATTCCTTTGACCTTTGACGTAACCAGACGATCGGGTCCGGGTTTTCTTCGTTTCTCACGAAAGTGTTTCATTGCTGTTGCTGTTTACATCAGAATTCACTTTTAGAATATTTCACGACTAAAAAATGAAGGCACGCCATACAACAGTGCGTGGCGTGAGGTCATTTCCGCCACTACGTGTTTCGCCATGCCCTTACTTAGCAACATTCACAGAAGCAGCATGTGCTATGACCGTTCAGAAAGATAGAGACAATATAAAATCTCTCTTTCTTCTCTTTACCCCATTGCCAGTGCAAGGTTGCCTAGCGGGCTAAACCATCTGCCTTTGTTTTATACTTATTCTCCCTCTGTCTCAAAAGTTTTTGCCTTATTCCTATTTCAGTACCGTGCTATGAAAGCTGTGAAACGTATTGGGTATACTATTGCAAAAGGCCTTACGTACCCATCTGCAAGAATGAGCCCACTGAATGCAAATGCTGTTGTGGTGAGTGTGAAACTTTCTACGTAACGTCACCCTATCACTACACATCTAGGCATAAATCGCTTGCAACAGTGATGTGTTACAAATGGCAATTTTTTGCTTGTGTAAACGTTGTTTTTCCACGTGTACACAATGTGGCCGCATCTTTCACGGGTCATCAACACTTATCCGGAAATTTTAGTTAAAAGAATCTACATTTAATTTCGTCCTCACCCGTTCATATTTCATGAATTGTTATGGTAACTATGGGATATTTGACGTAAATAAACTTTTAAGCAGCAATATATACACAGTCCTGATATTCTAGAATTTTAGTGTCATGAATGCAATCTTATGAAGCACGCTGCACATATTACAGCAGTTTAATGTAATGAGTTCGAGAAAGTGGTGCTTTCTGCATTGCTTCCTAATTAGAGTTGCACGTGTTTTTCTGAATTTCCATTCTTTTATTCTCCTGAATGCTCTATTAGAAAACTGGATGTCCATGTCTTCTGTCTGATCCCCATTTCTATTTTTCTATCTGCTCAAGTTTCTGGAAACAAAATGGTCTTTTGAACGTATGCTACATTAAAGATTCTGAAGCTCGATACTTTCAAGATTTTACCAGCACACACAGCTTGGTCTTCAAATATAACATGTCTCTTCAAGCTTTTTTTTTTTTACTTTATGGCTCGGAATCATGCGTACTATATCGAAGTACGCAGCTTTCGTTGTTTAACCATTTGTTAGGGCAACTTGGACGGTGATTTTTTTGTTGGGTTGGCAGCGATTCGTGAGATTCACCCACCTTTTGGGGCACATACTCCTTTATGATGTACCACGACTATGCGACACACAATGACAACATGAAACGCCGACAGGCCAAGACTCTAAAGTTGTCGCACCTAAAGGAACAAAAACGATTGCAGAAGTGATTTCAATAATCAGTAATCTGTATACACATAAACTAGATGACAATATTAGCCCCGAACACAATCAAACAAGAAATGCGAGCGTACATTTTTTAGAAAACACGTAACAATCCTTGCAATTCGAATAACTGAAAAGGTTTCTGGCGAGAACAGATTTCAGTATATCATACCAATCTTGCTTTATTTTCTGATCGTTTTTCTGAAGTGTGGTGCAGAAGGAATTCCTTTTCCACTGATAACTTCACGTTTATATCTGTATTCTTATCTCCACAATCATTACACGACTTATGTGTTTCTTGAATTCTGAAACACCATCTCACGCTGTGCATAATACTTTTTGGTTATTTCTCCAAAATAGTATATTCTTTTGTGTGAAACGTTGCCTCGTTTATTTCTACAACTTTTTACACCAATTAATCAAACTGCTCAGTCTAAATTTCTTAACACTTTATCTTGGTTCTAGTGTAAATCTGCATCTTTATCTGGGGCTCAGGAGCTTGTTTGGTAAACTTCTTATGCTCACGTCTTGTCCGGCGGTGGCGTGTACACTCTAACGGTGATATGAGAAATGCTCTCTAGATGACGCACCGCCCCTCAAGGCGTTCTCTCCGGTGACTCCTATAATGCTCACAAGAAAGCGCGCTACCACTCAAGGCGGTGCACACTACTATCGGGACGAGCATTTCCTTTCTCTTCGCCGAGAGCTTGCGCAGTGAAAACTCCTCCTTTGCGCTCGGGCCGCGTGAGCACCTCAGAAGCCAAGGATGCAGCGTGGCGGGCTCACAATGCAGCAGCACCTCGGGCTCAAGACGAAGACCCTGCGGTGATAGCGCGAGATATGTCACAACGTTGTCGCGTCTATATATGATAGTATGAGATCTGCACGGCAGATTCGTGGGTTACCCGATCATCTGCGAGCAAGCTTCTCTGGCATAATTCACTTTGTGGATATGACGCTTAGTTTTTAAACAGTTTTTCTGAGTCTTACAGCAATTGCATAGAAAAAAAGAGCCTTGCTTATATTAGGGTTTCTATGTTACACGGACAATTATTACAATCAGTAGAAGAACGCTGCTTGAACCCGGTAGCCATGGTTCGGTCCTGGCCGCGATAAGGGCGATGCGGCAAAAAATTTAGGGTAGTGAAAACTTTCGAAGCCTGCCCACTATGGAGCTCCTTATTATCAAGTGATGGTTTTCGTGCATCAAGCGACATGACCTACTATTGCTTTAGTGCTGCATCTATAAGCAATGGAATTGATATATTATTAATTTGAAACAGTGTACGACAGACATGAGCACTCGTAAGAGGTGTTAAAGACTACGAAGAACACAGAAATGCTCACCCCAAATGTTCAAGAAGAAAATGTTTTAATATATTGCCTCACGCTTTATCTGCCAGCCTGAAAGAGGCAGATGAAGACACAGTAGTGTTCATGCACATGCCTTTTTTTTTCATTTTTAGGCTGTGCTGTGCCAACCGCTCTCGAGACGACTTGGACCTTGTGTAGCCGCTTTATAAGCGCCGCCTTCATTTAAAACCTGAAAGTATTATGAACAGCAGCACTGCAACCATTTTTCATGCTTCAATAATGTGACGGAGTTTTTTTTTTTAGTCATTAACATTCTTTTGTGCGCTAGTGGTGTTTTCTTGTATTTTTTTTTCAATACTATAATGGTGTAATATCGTGCCTCAACTGTCCGTTCCATCTTCTTTTCACTATAGGGTCTTCTGATAATAATACTTATTGAATATTAACTGTATGGCTCGCCAATCTATGATCAACTATAGGGCAACCAGGAAGCATACAAGGAAAACGGTTTCTCTTCATAATAAACGAGAAGCATTTATTTGCGTACTGCAAGCTCTTTTGGTATCTATCTATCTATCTATCTATCTATCTATCTATCTATCTATCTATCTATCTATCTATCTATCTATCTATCTATCTATCTATCTATCTATCTATCTATCTGTCTGTCTGTCTATCTATTTATCTATCTATCTATCTATCTATCTATCTATCTATCTATCTATCTATCTATCTATCTATCGATCTATATATCTATCTATCTATACGCGTACGTCTGGGTGCTCTTATGATCCCTCCCTTTACTTGGGGTACATTAAAATTCGTACGAGCTAGTAAGATGGTTTCCCAAATACGACGTGCTGGTCTTGAATACTGTCATAATCTCGTAGCGTAGGTCGCCACTTTCCAAAAGACAGTGGGACATACCCGGGGTTGAGTATGTGCCACTGGTATGCGGGTATGTGCGACAGGTGATAAAAATTTTAGAGCTACCAGCAACAGCGAGTACACATATGGGTAATTTTAACGCTTGGTCGTTATGAAAAATTTAGGCAGCGTTGAACGCTTCAGTGCGAAGAATAAACGTCAATGTTTCAGCAGGAATCGAACCCCAGCAATCTGCGTGGCGATGAAGTATTCTACCAAAGCGCAACGCCCGGTCTCGGAAATACATCGCAAATAGACAATATTGTTCGTAAAACGGCAATCCTGGTTACAGTACTGGCTATCAAATTTTATAAACATTACATGTGTACTCGTACTATGCAGCAATCATGTCGGATTAACGTCCATTGTATTTAGGCGCCATCCGCCGAGGTTGATTTGTGTGTCCCGCCACGGTAGTCTAGTGGCCTAGGCACTCGGATGCTGACCCGCAGGTCGCGGGATTGAATTCCGGCTGCAGCAGCTCTTTTTTCGGTGGAGGTGAAAATTATGTAGGCCCGTGTGCTCTGTGCTCATGTTTGGGTGCACGTTATTAAACCGCGCGTGGTCGAAATTTCCGCTGCCCTTCACTACGGCGTCTCTCATAATCATATGGTGGCTTTGTGACGTTAAACCCCACATATCAATCATTCATTTGTTTAGCAGCAGAGCTGAGGGCTACCATTCTCGTGAGCTTGAGCTAAAACGCCCGCTCTTCATTCAGCTTACTGCTTTTGGTGTTCCTAATATCCATGTTGCTGTTGGCATGTTTACGCAACGGTGAACAAGTGTTAATACAGAAAATATGTGGTTGTTCAACGTGCGTGTGGGCATATATATTTACACATATATTGAGAGTCTTTTATAACGTCTCACTCAATAAAAAATTAAAACCCTTTCACCTTGCATCTGCACGTTTCGTATAGTATCGATTGCCAACGTACGTGGTATCTGCCAAATGTCTTTCGCATCATCGCACCGTAGCGTGCAGTTCATTTCGATAAAACTGTCACCAAGCTGTGCTCGAACTGGAGTACCATTGTTACGTCAAATTGTAAGATAACCCTTTTTAGTCACTGTAGTCTCGACGCGCCTCACAAACATCTCATATCCAGTAGGGAGAGCAGGGGGGGGCTTAGTATATCTTTTCTCTCTCTAATGATGTTGCCTCTTCAAATAGGGACTTTCCTAAATATAGGTGCTTTTCTCAAATAGTCAATGTTATCAGGCAGTGTCTCCGCCCACGCCGCAAAAGGTGATTTCTCCCTGTATACAGGCCTGCCCATAATGTACCCATAACAACTCCAAATAAATGAAGTCGTTCGAACAAGGGACGCTTGATCAGATAAAAAATGGGCCAGAGGACACTACTTAGCATGACATCCTCTTCCAGAATCAGTGAGATCTGCTAAGGTTTTCTTTTTTTTCAGTATTACCGTAATGTACCAGTCATGTTAACCTTTATGAAGAATTTGTTTAGTTCTTGGTCCCTAAACATGAACATGAAATAACTTCATCTCTGTGCGACTTTGGAAGTATATGGAGCGTGTACCTTTCATTTATTTTATTTTTTTTCAGGAAGAAAATCAGGATGGTTATCAAGAATTCTCAGAATGTGCTTCTAGGTGGCTTGGTGCCTAAACAATAGGCACTTGGGGCGTAGGGTATGGGGAGTCGAGAACATATTTTATAACAATTTTCTGGAGCCATTGGAATCGGTAAGAAATAACTAGAATTCAAAACAATATTTCCATTAAAGCAGCACCATTTTTTTCAATTCAAAAGGTGAACACATATTGTGTAATTGCTGCTTATAGAGGTGATTTAAATTTGCGCTATCTCCTTCTGAGTAACGACAGATGTGATAGATACTAGAATCTTTATTTCTAGAAAAAGGAAGCTCTATGTGCTGAGTGCTTAACAGGAAGAAAAAATGAGCTATGCCAGCTGATACTAGTGGGCAAGGCAGAGGAAGATTTAAACACTACATTTGAGACAAAATAGGGAAAACAGACACCCACTCATTTTCTCTTTCTTAACCTTTCTGCTACTTTGCTAGATTCCACAAAACTCGTTTGCATAACAATGGAGACATTGGGTGAGAACTGAATACCAACGCACTATCAGACTCGGCTGTGCTTGCACCTATAACGTTCACTCGGCGAGATCTCTTATGTATTGCAACAACAATGAGGTCCTATGCATACCCTAATAGAATTTGACGCTGCGATGGTAAATCTACTTATTAATGCAATTGCTTTCAGGTGCGCCAGCCCAGCAGCATCTTTCTTGGAGGCTGTACTATGGCATTTGCTGGGCCACAAAGCATTCACAAAGACAATTTTCAGCGAGTATGGAGCTTTCTGTCAAGCGAAAAATCTCTCAAGCTAGCAATATGTGCTAATCTGTGGCTGCGTCATAAATAAATACTCTATGCTATTTGTTTAAAAAGCTCAATGAGGTTTATAGCACCTATGCAGCGAGAAACTTTTCACTTCTTTTTATAACACCTATGGTTTTCATTGTATCCTAACAAACAGTACTTCAAACAAGCCCAATCTCGTGCTTGCATTCCAAAGAACTACAAAGAAAGAAAACAGACCACAAAGGATATCTTGACATCGTATTTTGTCTGAGAAATAAGGTAGATTGATCGCAGACACATGACGAGCTGTCTTCGCTTTGAACAATGACGGTTATTTCTCGAGTAGGTTTGACGACACAGTAACCTGGAGGGCAAGGTAACTCGACTATATTTCGGTTAAGACCACACAATGTCCTTCTGTTCATAAACCTTCCCTCGGCGTGTACAGCAGATGTAGAAACCCAGACATCTGTGAACAACAATAAAGGTTATCAAAAGGCTGTCAGCCAGAATAAACAAAATAAAAGGCTACAACACCGGAAAAAACTCCGACATTTAACCACCCATCGATCAGGGTATATGACAAAAAATGTCAAGAACAAAATAAGAGGCTGTTAGCCAGAACAATGTATAAGGCCCCAATTCATAACCTCAAGCACACTGCTTAGCCTACATCAGCATTCACGTTCCTATATGCATTCGTTCACTTATTTGACGTCGTTTTAGGGACGGCGTACTGCTCTCCCATAGTTGAGTACCAAGTACTCAAAATCGTTAAACATTTTTTTCTAAACATTTGGCTTTGTAGCTCTTCCTGAACCTTGTGTGTGAGGCCGAAGGGACGGCACCTTGCCCTCCCATGGTAGAGTACAAAATACTTTAAATCGTTATTCACTTTTTGTCTATACATCATGTAAATGCGTACCATGTACGTTTTATTTGTGTGTTATTTGTTTACCGTGTAATGTACATATGTAAACAAATCTTATAGTAACAATTTCTCGTGTGTGTGCATGTTGTGTTCCGTCGCGATATCTTCTTGAATTGTAAGTGATGTTCACTGTTTGTGAGAATATATTTCATTAAACACAAACCACACGCCGCTGCATTTCCATTGCCTTGAGTAACAGCTTCAGCCTCTAATTTTTGTCGATGCGGCCTCATCTAGTGTGAGGCCCAAGGAACGGCTTTCAGCTCTCCTATATATAGTAAGAGTACCGAGTACTCTAAATCGTTAACCACATTTTCTGAACACGGGTCCTCTGTGGATCGGTTGCCATATTTGAAACTGGGACAGTTTTCCCCTAGTAGTGTACACCGTACTCTAAATTGTCCAACATTTGTCCTAAGCCCAGTGCACAAATGAGGTTCTAATGCTGACGTTAAGCATTATCTTTCGGACTGTTCGCAAGTAAATGTGCCAAAGATGCCGTTTAGTAGGCTAACTTTAAAGTTTTTCGCGTTGGTTTACAAACACTGTCACTGAAGCAAATAATAGATTTCGTATTCACTCATTTCAGTATTCAAAGAAACAAAGAAAGTTAAGCACTACCCACTGAAACTTGCTGACAGTTATTGGTTCTCTTTCACGCTTGACCAATAAGCTGCCTGTGTCACGGCCACGTTAGCATAGTATACGTGTGGGCAGCAAGTTAAGAACAAGTATTTGCATGTATTATCTAAATATTTACGTCATTTTTTAGTTAAAAGTGTTTGTGTATATTATTGCTTCCACGTAGTTCACTGTTACGTTATTCTTAACCACTTAAAAGTCAAAGACTTTGAAGATGAAGAACTACTCGAACACAAGCGCAAGTTATGAAGTGAGTTTATTGGCGGACAGGTGATGCTTTTATAACAACCCATTTTATGGTCACAAGAAGTTTACAAAATATGCTTTACAAAACATTTTTAAACAGTAAAGTTTCGATAACTACTCATGCTGAGAAAACACACACCCATCGAACATCTTGCATTTTAAATTCATACACACAATTTCCTTCTGCGTTAGTGCCAAAGAAGCCATACTAAGCAGTCATTCTACAGGAGAATAATCTCAGACACCTCAGTTATTTCACTTTTCATCTCATTATTCTGCCCAGCCACCATATTTATTTCATGGATCATCGGCTGGCATCCGCGATCTCGGCAATGCAAGCCTAGGTGGCCTAGCAAGCACCGATTTATGTTCATTGTTGTTGCAAGCCCGCAGTCTTTTATTTATGCGCCTGCCCACCTGGCCTGCATTTTTTTTCCACATGTGAATGGGATCACGTGCATCACTTTTTGAACACAATGCACAAATTTATTTCTGTGGTTAGTTTTGCAAGGATACTTGTTCCCGTCATTTCTTTTCTTTCCCACATTACATGGTGGCGACAACTTACGAGGTGCCGTAAAAAGCACATGCACTCTGACACGCAACACGTACTACGCCACAAGGAATAACGTACCAATTAATTGCTACAAACTCGCCCAAGCAAGTACCTTTGTAATGTGTATAGTTGTCTAAAAGGTCAATATGGCTTTAGAATATTGCAGAAATCGTTGATAGATTTTACAATTGGTGCGTCTGAGATATCTGGATTGTGCAGATGTTTTTATGTAAAAACTAAGTGTATAATGACGGCGAGTTTCAGTTTTCACTGCCTAGCACTCTAGGCGTACGAAAGGGAAGAAATGGGTAAAGTAGGCATTGTGCTTAGCTCAAAAAAAAGAAAAGTACAAGCCTCAGAGCACGTGCTAGTGCATCGAAACAGTGCTACCCATCATCCACGTGCATTTGACAGACGAAAAGGCTGCATGATGGACAGATGTAGTCGGTATGGCAGATGTAGTTTTACCTAGCTCGACGAAAATAAAGCTGGAGCGAGCAGAGAGTCGGTTACGTTGCTAGCATAGTTTTACTGATTATCCAGTGGTAATATAAGAGACCTTGAATATTAGTGCCATAATTAGGTTTCAAACTGCCTTTGACAATATTCTTTCAAAGTTTGCCGTAGATTGTAAAACATCCTAACGTCATTAGGTTTTCCTTAACAGCTTGAGCACCACTTCAAGGGTAGTGCTGTTGAGAAAATGATGCTCGTAGTTATTGCTTTGGCTACGCTTCTGGTACATTATACTGAAGTAAAGTCGGCCAATCCACCCGCCAGGCAAATATCAGGTAGGTTCTAGCTGAACGTTCATGAGCGAGAAGTAAGGAAGCAATTTATTGAAGTACTTGCGTTTTTCACTAAAAATGTGCAAAGCTTCTTTTGAACAATAACCGTTCTTCCTGTTTTTACTTTGGAAAATATTTAGGCTCGTAATGTGTTTTTTACCTTATCACACACAAAGAAGATAAGAATGAAAGTATATCGCAAAATTCGGACATGCGGTGATACGGTGGCGTTTAAGATAAAGACCAAGATGTCATTCACAAAAAACAAAATTAGAGAGGAAGTTAATACTGGGGCTTAAAATGTGTGTAAATGCTTAAAAAACTATGATATGCGGAGGAATGTCTATCATAACGCTGGGAGTGCCAATTGAATTCAGCAACAAAACGATGATACTGGGCAGCTCAGGGAAAACAACGCAGAAAAGAACAGGGGACAGCAAGCAAGTTCTGACATCAAAAACTATCGTGGTATAGCTTATACGCCATAAAATAATCCCAACATTTACGCCTTGTAATAATAAAGCATCGTGCTGACTATGTAGAGCCATCCATTGTTCTTTTTTTTACCTTAACGTGCGAGCATAGACCACCCCGACAATAAGTGCCAATTCCCGGCGTCCTGGTATCTGGTTCCCTGAACAGTTTGGCTGAAGGCAGTTGCACATGAGTGTTCATCACGAACATATGCATGTTATTGTTCATTTCTATGTCGTTCTTTGTTATACAGTTCTTGTCGACTGAACTCTCAACGCTTGCGCATTCAGGTTTTAAAAAGGGGGGTGGCTGCACACTACATGCCTATGGTTACACGATACGAAATGTCTGAGAGCTAGCTTCTAAAGGATCCGAGTGAACCTTAAATGCATAACATGATAAATTCCTCAATAGCTGTCACTTTATCACAGCTGAATACGACAAAACTAAGCCATAGCAGGAAGAAAACAAACAAAATTATAGAGATAACGTAGCCAGTGATGTTTGTGAACTTTTCGCGATTATTGATGACGGTTCTAATGTCATATATAGGGTACCTTGACGATGCTTGTGATGTATTCTTGAAATAATAAAATATTATAACTTTTTACAGCTGCAAACATTCTTAGTAAATTGCGCAGGCTAAGCAACCCAACTGCTGGCAAAGCACGTCGCTCTGGCACAAAAGTCACAGAAAACGCCTTTTGCTGTTCAATGAAGGTATCGTGTTCGAGTATCCTCTGTCGTGTGGGGAAATTCACGTGGGGCAGATGGGGCGATATTTGAGAGAAAGGGTTTGAGTTTTCGACAACAATGTTAAGAAGGGTGGCGATGGTCTGTTATCTACTCATTGCCGAAGACACTATAGCTGAATTTAATAGATGACCTTTGTTCCGACCGTGATGTCCTCTCTTCGACAACCGCTCGCCAATCGGGGCCCCATCCACGAACTTGTCCAACCATTTCCCGATCTTTTACTTTCCTCTCAATTTTTACATGTCTTTCTATCTTTTTTAATCCCTGCATATGCCTTGTCTTGTGAACCTCTGCTGAGGAGTCGCACTTTCCTGCAGACAGGTGCGGGGTTCACTTTTCCTTTTTTTCTAAATAAAATCAACCCCCCCCCCCCTTCGTCGCCACACGTCTGGGTGTTTGCTTGTTTTTGATGATTTCTCTATTATACGCAAGCACAAAGACGAAGCACTGCGGTTAATCGTAAAGAATCGCTACTCTACGTTAGCGTGATACTAACTGTTAATACCCTGATATGAACCCTATTATAACCCAGATAAAAAACTTTGATTACTTGTTGCCACCACTCTGGCGCATTCATGGGTGTCCGCTATTTTTATGTGTATACTCAGAGATTCGGCTCCAATGAATCATTCCTGAAAGTTAGAGCTTGTTTGCGTGTTCTCCCTGTCCTGTCCTCGTCATTTTAGTGCAGCGCTTAACTTCATGAACATGTTACACCAACGAGGCCAACAATGCACCGTTGCTATGTTCTTCGAAGGTTTGTCCGAGGAGAATCAATATTGCCAATTTTGCGTACACAGATAATTAATTTTAGTGGAATGTTACCAAAGGAGTATCTGTACTATAATGTAGATCTTTCACGAATAACAGAAAAAAGAAGACCATTGCTTTCGTCATTTGTGGATTTCTTATTAGGATAAACTATTGCTTATTGCCAGAAAAGATGCAGTACTAACATTAGAAGGTCGAACGTGCGTCACCTGGGTTCTGGTGATTTACTGGTCTGTCCGAGTGATAGTCGAGTGCGATTGCGTGCGTGTGCGCTATGTGTGTGTGTGTTTGTGTTTCTCGTTCGTTATTTTTGGCTCTTCTTTTGTTATCCCATATTTAACACCCCTAGATCATGCTAGCGTATTATAATAGCACGTGCTTTTAAGCTTCCTACCTTATTTATACATTTCTTTATTTCTTTCTCAATAAAATCAAGACTGTGAAAATGAATTGTGACAATAATTATTTTTATGGTTTCCTTTCAGTGAAAGGCGTTACATATCAGCTGAAAGAATATGAGTTATTTTCTGGTCTATTTGTTTATTTTAAGAGCAGTTGAGCTTATATTCGTATTAGCAATTTTTCTCTTTAGAGATTCGGGCACCACTTTCATGATGTGGAGAAAATTGTATAGAAAGTTCGTCCGATGATGGCGTCCGAGATTAGCTCTTGCAGCACGTCACTCCCCGGTGCGGCTAATCGTGGAAACCACTTTCCATTGTTCTTGTCTCTTTGGCTAAGCTGACTCGAAGGCCAAAGCCGTCCAGTGTGCCTCTTCTGTACGGCGCTTTTCGCACGCTAGCCCAAGTTTAAATATCCTTGTTGTTGTTGTTGTTGTTGTTGTTGTTGTTGTTGTCGTTGTCGTTGTCGTTGTCGTTGTTGTTGTTGTTGTTGTTGTTGTTGTTGTTGTTGTTGTTGTTGTTGTTGTTGTTGTTGTTGTTGTTGTTGTTGTTGTTGTTGGGGAACGTCGGAAAGGTGAAAAGAACGTACTTCTCATGTCACTCAATGCATGAGGCACCGGTGGTCACGTGTCTTTTGTACGATTTCATGTCAACAGCGGCTTTTCTTTCGCGGTCACTTTTACAAGTCATATATTGTTTTTACGGAAATATATAGTGTCACTTTCAATATATGAATGAAGCCTTCAATTGATGTCACGCAATGGCAACATCATTACGTGAGAGGTCACCAAAATATGTTACGTGACTGCTTTTTCACTGCGTCGTTACATCGCATGACATTAATTCAGTAACCTCTTTTCCACTTCAAGTCTTGAAGAATCATCTTGATTGATATGTGTGTTTTACCGTCCCAGAATGACCATATGATTATGAGAGACGCCGTAGTGGGGTCACCGGAAATTTCGACCACCTGGAGTGCTTTAACGTGCGCTTAAATCTAAGCACACGCGCCTACAGCCTTTTCGCCTCCACCGAAAATGCTGCCGCCGCCATCGCCGAGACTCCATTCCAAGACCTTCGCGTCAGCAGCCGAGTGTCTTAGCCACTAGACCACTGCGGCGGTGCTATATACCAGCTTGACACAAAATTTCGTCAGTTGTGACACAAATACGCCTATTTGTTTTAAAAATTAATTTCCTAGAAAATTTATCTCTAGCTATTTCAGAAAGAAGCATACATAGAAGAGAATAGCGGCTGATATTCAGTCCGTAACTCTCTACTGCTTCTTCCTAACAGTGGAAGGCACCACTCAATATCCATCACCATGTAAGTTTCTTTCTTTTTTTTCTTTTTTTCTGTCTTTTTCTATTTGAATTTAGTACATACACATTCGGCTTTAAAAGGCAGACATAAGCGAATTGTTTGAACCATTCTCATAAGAATTGTAAAAGTATACTATTTGTGCACGCCAACTTTTGAAACACGTCATTTGAGACTGTATATGAGGCATAAACAAGGATTACGCGGAGATACCCTCTGCGGTAATCTCGCAATAACCTCGCCTCTAAAAGATGAGACTAAAACATGTTCACACGAACAAATATTCTCGATCTTATTGATTCTTCAAGGGCCCACAAAATTTATGAAAAACATCACGGTGAGAATGAAAGCATGCAGGTTGTTTTCAAACAGTTCATAGTACTGAGACAAGTTGCGGACCTTTTAAAGGCGATCTATTCTTGAACTAAAAATATTAGTCAAAGTGAAACTGAAGGTTCATATAAAAGGATCTAAACGCAAGTAATTCTAAATAATTCCGTTACCTAGCTGCCATTTTGCCTATTTCTTTACATAGGCAGGCACAACCCAAAGTACGGGAGTGGGTGAGAGCGACCTTTCTTGTATTTGTTGTCTAGCTTTTTTTTAGATTTTGTCTGACCCGCCTACGCACAGCATGTCCCCAATTTAGAATTAAAACAGTTACAGAAGTGGTATGTCCCAATACTTCATGCAAATTCATATATTTCCACCTTTATGCATCTCTTAGTGCATAGGCTAGCACTGCGCCTCAGTATAAGCATCAGCTGTCTACCGAAACGTACGCCGTGATATTGTACAAATGAAGGGATATGTTTCATTCAACCTTCACATTTTCGATTGCTGATGAGAATCACTACAATTTTGTCATTACGGCACAGAGAAATTCGCGTCACAAGTTCTTCCTTGAGCTACAAACGCTAGAGTCGAGCTGCTGCCGAAAATGCTGATTGTGGAATAATTTACCGTTCAAGGCATTTAGAGAAAGTAAAAGGCCAAGCTAGAAAAGCTTAAGGCAACAAAACAGGCAGTGACTTCAGCGCTTGCATCTTTCGCTTTTACTGTCTTTTTTCTAAGTATGTTGTGCTGCAAGTTAACCCACGGTGAACAATTAGGATAGCGTAAAGCATTTCTTTTCTTTATATTGCGCGTATCATTTGATCAATAGCTATTGCAATGACGATTGGGCACAAAATACACTTAACACTCACCGAAATCGTGTTGAAAACCACATCTGTTGTCCTTTTCTTTCTTTGCAGTGAAAGGCGTGACTGGAAGACTACCTCAACGTGAGTCTTTGTTGAGCTTTCATTAGTCGTACAAAGGCAGTTTTATCACTTAATTTGCTTTTTATGTGATTTCTTGTGCAGTATTAGTAAAATTAGTACAGTTCCTACTAAATATCCCTTGAATGAGTCTTTGCAGAGCTGATGGGCACCTAGCTAGTTCACGATCAACAAGCCTTTCACCATCTCGCAACTCTCCTTCCTGATCTTGGCTAAACTCTACCAAACCTTCCTTTACTGCTCTAGTTTTCTTTCCATATATATTTCTCTTTTTTCTTGTTCTTTTAACCTCTTTATCTTTCTCTCTTTCTCTTTTAAATCATTTCTTGGCGAACTTCAGCGACATCGAGCCTATCTATCTATCTATCTATCTATCTATCTATCTATCTATCTATCTATCTATCTATCTATCTGTCTATCTATCTATCTATCTATCTATCTATCTATCTATCTATCTATCTTTCTATCTATCTATCTATCTATATGTCTATCTATCTATATGTCTATCTATCTATCTATCTATCTATCTATCTATCTATCTATCTATCTATCTATCTATCTATCTATCTATCTATCTATCTAGCCAGCTGCCTACGACTTTTAGCTCTCTTGGCCATTAGGATAATGGTAACGATACGAAACTTCGTATTATACAAATGACTGTATGCCGAACGAAAATGACTTGTGATAACATGAAAATCATGACATGTATGTCATAAAAGTCATGATTTAGATGTCATGGTCCTGCTGCTCCTGTGGTGGTTTCATTCACATGATATGTTGCAAAACTGTTATGGTATGACATGACTGCATGGTGAATACAAGCGACAAACCCTAACATTAAAATGATGACATGCGTGTCATGTAACAACATGAGTACATGCCACACTCATGATGTGCTCACGGCCGTCTTGCCAGCTTTGAATATACCTAATTTGGTATTGCGGGACGTGAATGGATGATGAAGGTATGTGACTGGTGCAAACATGACAATAATGGGATGCGTGTCTTGCATGAACATCAATATACGCCACACTGAACGCGCCTATACACTTCAACGTGAGCCGGCGCGCATGCGCTTCGGCGTTCGTTTTATCGCGTCATGCCGGCGATGCCACGCCAGGCGCCGATATCCCCCCAGTAGAAATCAGTGGATCTGCCCACTGACCTTTATTCTGGATCTGCATGCCATATACTCGCAGTCGCGCGCCGCGCTGCGTTGCTTTGACGCATGCGCGTTTGAGCGCACACGGCGTCCCTCCGTCACGAAGAGAGGCAGACGCGGTGCTGTCTAAGCGTCGTCGGCGGCGCGAAATGCAGCTTGTCAGATTTGGCACCGATTGCCACCGGACCGCGCCGACGGACGCTGGTCGCGCCGGTCACGCCTGGCGTCACACTATAGAGTGCCCGCGTTTTGCTAGTGTGGCGTCGCTGCGCCCAGCCTGCGCGTGCGTCCACGTTGTGTCAGAGTATATTGGGCCCCACATAATGCGCTCACCGCCGTTGCGCTAGCTCCACATGTACAAAATTTGGTATCAAGGGAAGTGAATAGATGACGAAGGTAGATGACACGTCCAAACTTGATAATCATCATATGCGTTTCATGTAAAACATGACTACATGCTAAGCTCATAGCGTTCTCGCAGCCGTTTCACTAGTTCCACATATACCGAATTTGGTATTACGTGACGTGAATGAACGATGAATGTAACTGACACGTCCGAATATGATAATCATGATATGAACTTCATGTAAAACTTTACTGCATGCTAAGCTCATAACGCTCGCGGCTGTTCCGCTAGCTCAATATATACAGAAGTTGGTATCAGGAGGCCCCTGTGCTCAGATTCGGGTGCACGTTAAAGAACCCCAGGTGGTCGACATTTCCGGAGCCCTCCACTAAGGCGTCTCTCATAATCATATGGTGGTTTTGGGACGTTAAACCGCACATATCAATCAATCTATCAAGTTGGTATCAGGTGACGTTAATAGACGACAAAGGTAAATGAAATGTCCAAACATGATAATCATGACATAGATGTCATGTGTGGCATAATTTACCTCCAAAATTTTATTGTTGCGCTGATTTTAAAGTGACCTATCACCCTTCCTCATTCGTGCTTCGCATATCATCGATTCCCACAGTAGGTGGGATCTGCCAATTTTCGTCTTTGCTTTTGTCACTTATCATCATCATCAGCCTGACTACGTCCACTGCAGGACAAAGGCCTCTCCCATGTTCCGCCAGATAACCCGGTACTCTGCTTGCTGCTGCCAATTTATACCCGCAAACTTCTTAATCTCATCTGCCCACCTAACCTTCTGTCTCCCCCTAACCCGCTTCCCTTCTCTGGGGATCCAGTCAGTTACCCTCAATGACCAGCGGTTATCCTGTCTACGTGCTACATGCCCTGCCCATGTCCATTTCTTCTTCTTGATTTCAGCTATGATATCCTTAACCCCCGTTTGTTCCCTAATCCACTCTGCTCTCTTCTTGTCTCTTAAGGTTACACCTACCATTTTTCTTTCCATTGCTCGCTGCGTCGTCCTCAATTTAAGCTGAACCCTCTTTGTAAGTCTCCAGGTTTCTGCTCCGTAGCTAAGTACCTCTTTCTCTTTTTTTTCATGGTATGGTTTCCCCTTCCTCTTTTCTTTTTTGCTACTCTCCCTTGCATCTCGTTACCATCCTTAAAGCATTTTTCTACCATCTGGCTATACTAAACAACGCAAAGCAATAATTTACTCTACAGACGTGCTTTCATAGCTAGTGGCTTCCACGCTCGCCTTCGCATCGTGGGTACGCGGGTTTGAAATCTCCTCGACCGTAAATATGATCCACCAAGTGATTTTTCACTTTTTTTGTTCACATTGTGCGTACTCGTTCTCTCTTCAATCACTGATTGCATAACATGCACCACAAATCAGCACATGCTCTGATTGGGCAGAAAAAAAGGGTAAAACCAAGAAGGCGACTCAGTGCACGTGGCGGTTTATGATACTAACCATTTCTTCGTGTATGACATCAGGCAAACATATCGGAAAAACAAATTAATTGATTTATATGATATGTAGGGCTTAACGTCCCAGACCCATCATATTATTATGAAATTATGAGAGACGCTGTAGTGGAGGTATCCAGAAATTGGGACCACCTGGGGTTCTTTAATGTGCACCCAAATCTGAGCACAGGAGCCTACAGCATTTTTGCCTCCATCAAAAATGCAGCTGCTGCAGCTGGTATTCGATCCCGCAACCTGGAGGTTAGCATCTGAGTACGTTAACCACTATACTACCGCGGCGGGGCATCTCGAATAATAGCTCCGGTAATAAATGTGAATTTATAGGCGCAATATTCTTCTACTGTATTCTTCGAACACCTTATCTTACACATTCATTTACACATAAGTTTTCAGCTCTGATCAAACATCAGATGTTCTTGAGGATACACGTAGTGATAGCATAGAATTCGAATAAATTTGAATAATTTTATTAACCGGACCATGTTTTATTTCAAGATTTCAGTGGCATACTTTCGTCAAGAAAATGACGTCGAAACAATGCACAGGATAAATTGACAAAGGAGAAAGTTCAGTCAACGGAGGGCGAACCTTCGACCTCTCGCTCCGCGACAAGAGACGCCGGGTGTGCTATCCACTGCGACATGGTCTCTTTTCTCTTTGTCGACTGCGCCATCGTCACATACTCTTCAACATCTAAAAAATCGTTTTTTATACCAATGTCTTCTCACAGTAAAGTTTCTAAAATGAAGTAATGCACCATGGCCATGAAATCCACGATTACGTTGTTCAAGTTAACGTTTCTGCGCGATCGTTCCATTCGGAACGTTTCCCATAGAAGTGCAATTTTGTCGACGCAATAACGTGCGGCCACATAGCGACCGTATTCTTATGGTCGACCTCATTCATAGCATTCATCCATCCCAAAAAACCACTCTGCGACGCACGACTGCTTCGCGTGGCCTGAGTGTACTGTAGAGCGTTGCCGTAACTCCACGTTCCCAACATACGCTCACCCTGCGAAGAGTCGCAGTGAGCAAACTGGGAAGAGATGACGCGCTTTGCGGTTCCCTCCGATCAGGTAGTGGTGGCCATCAATAATGACATGCCCCGTGTAGGTAATCTTATCACAAGTCCGGCGTCCAATCATTGACGCTCTTCTGGCTGTCACACCACAATCTTGGATTCTGCTCTTACCATACACCTACCACAAGCATCTATGATTACGAGGGTTTGCTTAATTACTGATCATGACATTAGTCGATGGAACACAGATGTACCATCAAGCGTCACCGTAGATCAGCAGTATTAAACAGTTCTTTAACTGCCAAGCACCACTAGGCAGTGTGCAAGCTCTCTAATATAAATATTAGTAAACACTCAACTACTTCTGTAAGGACAAGTTTCGCTTTAGTGTAATACCTATTCCTATGGCGGAGGGATAAACCATCTCTTTTTAGAGATCATTGATCAAATATGGCACAACTTCAAGTCTGGAAGGAACATCATGCGACTACGGAGGTTGTGGTGTGACTTCTCCCGTAAAATGATGTCAAAACACCATACTACACATCTTCGAAAATACCAATTTATCTTAGGTTCAAGTATTTTAGTAGAAAAAAGTGCGAATATAAAACATTTAGGACAAGTTGCAGGCACACCAAGGATAATATTTCTGCCTATTATTTTTTTTTCAGTGCAAGGGGAAACAAAATATCCGCCAGGATGTGAGTTTTATTTTTTTATTTTGTTGCACTCGGATGTTATACTTTCTACTGCACTCACACGATTCCCACCATAAAGATTTTCATGACAACCATAAATTTTACTTGAACGACATTTTTTATACATTTAGAAAACGATGTTTTACGTAATTCGGTAGTGCACAAGTGCTTTGCTCAAATGAAGACATCATTTTGTCTACTAACACAAGCTTACAGAACTATAGTTGAATATATCGGATCGATCTTCAAAAGCGCGCTTAGTAAACGCAGACAGAGCAGAGAACGAACAAAATACAGGACATGTGATGTCAAGCGTAATGATGGTGCACTGGACATTGTGCTCGTTCAGTGCAGAGATTAGTTTATTAGTTTAGTAATGTGTCTGGGCTGTTAATTATAAGATACAGTAGGATCAAGCGTGCTGGTATAACATCATAAAGAGTGCTTAACAGCGCATGTGACAGAAGGGGATAGAGGAGACAAGACAGAGTGCTGAACTGCCAACAATTTATTTCTTGCGAAAGTCTGCGTTAACTATGGCACTTTTCAAGAGAAATTAACACCGTATCTCATGTTACAACTCGCCATGGGACAATTTATGATACCCTACTCAGGGCATTGTTTTTACATTTAAAACATACATCACACACGAACTTTCTGAGAAACAATAAATGACGTGACGTTTGTTTCTAGTTTCCGTAAAAGTGATCTTTTAAAATAAAGAAAGAACGACGCCAGCCTTGCCCAGAACAAACGGCGCCGGAAAAGCGAAAGTTAGACTATCGGTTTATTAACAACCGTTCTTAACTATGTAGGTCATTTACAACAGGCACACTTGCTATGTATACATCACACTGTAAATCATAATTTTGCAAAATAGTAACTGCTCTTTATGCCCCCATTTATCAGTTATCTGAGTTGTGACGTGTGCACACATCGGGTCCGCAAGGTATTATGCGCAATTTGCTGAAGTTTCGCTTGTTGACGTTGAACACTTATGGCTGAGCCAACGCCCTCTACAAATTTTGCGGATTTCTTTACATCCCCTTTCCCCGCGTGCTACGTCATGCTATGTGTCCGACAGCCACGGTTTTTCTGTCCGACGCGATGAAAAAAACGTGGCTTCGAGAATTCCCCCTCAAGTATTTACCTCCAACAGTGCATTGAAATGTAAATATTTATAACATTGTTTTGTCGGGCGTGTGAATCTGGGTTCTAACCTGCAACAGCTGTGATTGTCGAAAGGCAATACTTCTTTCGTACATATTGAGAATATTTCAACACAACGATGAAGAACCATGCATTTCTTCTTAATAGTCACTGAGCAGTGGGGTGTATTTGTAAATGACCAGTGCTAAGAAGAATATCTTTCTCACAGTACAGTTAAACTAACTTATTTTGCTCTTACCGCCATAGATTATGCCTGGTTAGGTCTCTTTGTTGTTGTTTTTTTCCTGCCTGTTTATGTGTGCAATCATCCTCTAATTCCAAGCGTGTTATGTAGCAAGTTATCGCGACAATAAAATGACATTCTCGTGACGCGATGCTAGAAATAAACCATAAGCAGCCAAAAACAAAGATGTAATCTTCTTTCATTGCAGATGTAGAAACCGTTTTTCGTCTTGAGCAATATGATTCCCTGTGTATAAATTTACACACAGTTGTTCAGCAGTGCTGGTGTCATGTGTTCATTCTTTCGCAGTCCCGCTTTTGCGCTGCTCCTCTAAGTATCATGTGCCAACTAACCCTTCAAGATACCCTTCTGCAGTTTATCTCCTAAGTACTTGCTCTGTGAAAGCTTCGGTTGCTCGGAATCAGGAAGATTTCATTCACTTGAATTCTTTCACTCAAAAGAAGGGCAGAGCAATGTCAGAAAAGCCAAACTGGAAAGGCATTGAGCCAAGTAACTAACGTAAGCCACTGCAAACCAGTCAGAAGAGAGCTGAAGGCACCTAATTTGGGACCTCTTTTTCTTACAGTAGGAGGCACTGCTCCAAGCCCAGAAAAAAGTGAGGCTTCTTTTATTTTATGTGTACTTTTTGTTAGCCTATTACTATTTAATTTCAGCAATCATACATAACCAAAGAAGCAAAATTGCTCTTTCAGGCCGTTTTCAATGTCACTTCATGTTCACGGAGCTTTGGTAGCCCCTGGTGATATGAATGTTAACATGTCATCATTTGCTCTTACGCAGTCGTGTGTATCTGTGTGGACAGTGTAAATCACAATCTTATAGCATTACTTTGGTACCAATGTTTTCCAGATAACATGAAGAAGCGTCACCGTGCGTACCTTCCGGCTGGTTGCGAATGCTTGAGAGTCGGTGCTTACTAAAAAGGCTTAACTGTCTTGAAACAATATATATATCCCTACACAACAGCATTCGTATCTTGATAGCCACGCTGGACTGACTCGGCACCTTGAGAACGTTGCGTTGTCTCGGGGGATGTCACGTGAATCCGTGACCAACACCAGAACGTTCACAGTTAATCTCGCATGATGTCTTGGCCACGTCGTTGGGTTATGCTTGCGATTCCCAGTATCTCATCGTGAGCGTGCTAAGGCCGCTTTGCATTACACGCATTGCTATTGCCTACTATATCGTACGCACCGCAAAACCATAGTGCCTCTGCAAAAAATTCATTACTGAGTTACTAGTCCGGCAAACAGTTCCTGTACCACTCGCACCATCAGCATGCAATGTTTCTCCTCTTCCGTAATGCAGTAATCGTCATGGCAATAATCAGGGTGCGCCATTTCTTCTTCTTTATACTGTGTGGTTATCATTGTGAACCCGCACGAGGTACTCCAGCCGAATTTAGGCTTTTTCTTTGTGAACAGCACCCGTGAAGTTGTGCATTAAGGAGGTGCGGATAGGTCGCACGTTCATATAAGGTGACACCTCGATTTTCTAACCACGTCCTGGCAATACTTTTTAACTCTCAACACGCTCTCAGAAACTAGTCTTACGACGCAGCCTGGATGTGAAATTTTGAGAGAATTCGGGTGTTTTTGACACATGAAACTGGGTGTCTGGTGCGCTCACTAGATAGTGTTGTGTGTAAATGTTGTTGAAAAAATTATGACTAGATGGAATTCGTGATTTTCGTTTATTTGACGAATAAAGAGGATAGATGTCGCTCTTATTACAATAAACTTAATGTTTATTCATGGAGTTAATGATGAGTGGGGTGAAATTTCCGTTCGTCTGTATGTCTGTCTGTCCATCAGTCCCCTCCTATCACATTAGAACACGCATGGGACGGAAGAATGTACGTTTCACCCCCCCCCCCCCCATCATCATCATTCATTCCATGAATATGCTGTGAATTTCTTGTTTTAACAGCGCCATCTATCCTCTTTGTTCGTCAACCATGCGGGACAACTTAGAGGTAGTGGAAGAGATATTATAACATAATTCTGCACAAACAGCCTTTGAGTACGAAATGCTGAGGCTGAAAGATTGTGCGTAAACGAACAGATATCTTATGTATCTTATAGAACAGATTTCTATAGTTGAATATATTGGATAGATCGATCTTCAAAAGCGCGCTCAGTAAACGCAGACAGAGCAGAGAACGAACAAATTACAGGACATGTGATGTCAAGCGTAATGATGGTGCACTGGACATTGTGCTCGTTCAGGGCAGAGAGTCGTTTATTAGTTGTGTAGTGTGTCATTATTAAACTATTATAGTTTATTAGTAGTGTAACGTGATTGACTCCTTTGTGCCTGACATAGTAGTGATAAAAGCTTGGCAGCTATTTATTAAAAAGCCTATGCCATAATTTTTAATATTAGCTCAAACCATAAGTTCTCGGCATAACTCTCGCTGTAACCAAATGTTGTTCATGACTAAGCGTTATTCAGCATATCAGACCATCCCGTTTTGCCGAGCCACAACTATAAAATATACCATGCTCCACAAACATCAACTTTATTGTGATTCAAAGGTTCAAAATGGTATGATTATTTGTCATATTGGCACACAAAACTTGAAAAACAATACTGGTATTACTTCTCGAAACAACAGCCTGCCAAAGCAGCTGCAATGTAGTTTTTTGGTGCTTATTACAGGCAGTCTTATGTAGACGTTACCATTTACAGCGTCTTTATGTTTATTAAACAAGAAAAGTATAACTGGATTCAAAATACACATATTTAATTTAGCTTATAAGCCTGCCAAACCTTACGTGATATAAAACATGGAAAGCTGCAGTACGAGGTCTATTATAGTTTATTTGATGTGGTCTTCCAGCCAAACCAAAGTACTTATGTGGTGATGCCTACTCCTGCAACTTCGGGACTAAACGGACTTGCTTGCTTACAGATGGAATTAAATCACCTGTAAAGTGTGGTAAGAAACTTCATGGCACGTCTGTTCATTGTTTTAAGTTATTGTTGCCTTTAGATCATATCATCTGAACTTGGAATTCTGACTTTATATGGCAAAAAGTTTCAGTATATTGTCTTTCACAAACAAACGCACAAAATATCTTCAGACTTCTAGCAATCACTTCAACAAGCACTTCAGTAAAAAAAAAATGTATGCTAATGTGTTGGCCTTGCCTTCGTTGAGTGTCTCACGTTTTATGTGATTCTAAGCCCTGAAACATAGCATGCAATGTTCCTTAGGGCTGTTACCATTTGTCATGACTTTGAGAGGCTTATTACAAAATATACGAAATAAATCGCCGCCAGCATAGTAGTGCTGATCACATGAGGAAATGTGCAAGTTCGCAGCTATTATTTGCGCACTCCTTTCTCTATACTAGGAGCGTATGAGCACATTCACCTATTCAAGACAATGTGCGGTTACACACGCTAATACATGTGCATGCCGGTTCGTGTATTTGCAACCAGTAGGTCATACAGGGGTAGCAGCAGCCATCGCATTAGTGAAGTTTTCTTGAAGGCTATATACTAGCCATCATCACTTGTTACGGTATTTCCAGCTCGAGTTTGCAATCTGTCTCCTTTCCTCGATCAATCGCTCATTGCAGGGAGAAATATAAGACAAGACGGTTAGCATTTTTGTGCAAAATAACCTTCGCGAAAGTTAAATGATAAGCCGAACCATTCTTAGGCTCATTACAAGCCGCCAACTACTAAAGAAAGCTTTCAAGTACACAGCTGACAAAGTGCGCACGAATATTGTTTGATGTGACTGGTATACAGCATTTGGCCCTGTGCAATATGTGTGCGCAACTTATGACTGAGCCTAGCAAATTAACAGGGTGGATTGAATCATAAATAAATAAATTGTATCTTGGTTTTCTGCCCGAAACAATTCACTTGATCTTTCATATTTCAGTGAAACCAGCTCAAACATGCGAAACCGTTTGGGCAGCTTACTGCGTAAGACCACTGTTTCCAATTTGCAAGAATGAAGCCACCGAGTGCTTGTGCAGTTGTGGTGAGTGTGAACGCTGCTTTGCTAAAAAAAAGTGTTTAACTGAAGGTACTGAAAATTGCGTAAACCTTTATGTAGCTCCTGTACGCAAAGCCACAATTATCTCTAGCACAGCTAATCAAGAACTCTATGTTTTCATTGATTTCATTGGCTATGCTGTCGAGCAAACATATCTTTAGCCTACGTGCTTGTAATTTCTGCAGATTGTGTTCTATGCGCAAAAATGCAGTGCACATCCGCAATATCTTGCTGAACTGATACTTAGTTTCAAGGCCACTTGAAAGAGAATGGATCGATCCGCAACTCAGCAGAACTACTGCAACAGATTTTATCACGCCCAGTCGCGATGGTCGAGTAGCTAGGGTACTCGGCTACTGAACCACAGGTGACGGGATCGAATCCAGGCTGCAGCGACTGCATTTTTGATGTAGGCGAAAATTCTGTAGGCCCTTGTGCTCAGATTTGCGTGCGCGTTAAAGAAACCCAGGTGGTCGAAATTTCCGGAGCCCTCCACTACGGCATCTCTCATAATCATATGGGGGTTTTGAGACATTATACGCCACATATAAATCAGATTGTATCACTAAACTATGTGTTGATACATTTGCTCATCTGTGTATAGCACTTACTTAGGCTTGAAAATACCGACATCTGGTCAGTTTTATGCAAAAATTAAAAATGACAAGTGCAATTCACAACTTACTGACAGATGCAGAAGGCGTTAGATTTGTAATATAAATTGGAGTTAAAAAAACTTGCTGCGGGGGCTAAAACATGTCAAGTTGTTATCACAGACAACTCGAAAAAATTATGAATACTTTAATTTGCACCTCCGAGTCATCAATGATGCATGAAAATTGATTTTTTGTATTGGTATATAATATTTCAATTCGATTTTACTTTGAAAGTAGCCTAGTTCAGTATACTGTGTATTTCACACTTTAGACAAATTAGTACAATATTTTCGACAAACTCTTCAAATGATTAACGAGGGAGCGTCGTGTGTTAAGACCTGAACAATGCTGAAATATTAATTTCTTATCTACGTTGTGTACGCACCCTGATAAAACGTGATACTTGAACGCTTTTGTAAGGCAATAAATAGGCAACCTTTTGTTACGAATGCAACCAGCTCCCTATTAAACATGTACCTGCACACTTCGCGACTACAGATATATTGTGAAAAATTAGTTCTCTGTCTATATAGCCATCTATTGTGGCGAAAGAAGGACTTTTCTATTTATGTGAAGTTGTTCTTCTGTTTTCAGGGAAAGACAATGGACTCTTCCGGTGGTTTTAATAATATCTTTTCCGTGCCATTTTCAATAATACATACAATGTTTACAACACATAGTGAGCACCAAATGGATATATTTTAATGTTTGAACATAAACACATCCTCAAGTTCTGCGTTGCCTAATGGTGACCGGTTCAGCCATTGTATTCATATTTCTCCTTTTTTTATTTGTCAATATATATTCCTACCTAAAGACGTGCCACTGATTCCACGCATTGGGGCTTATGGGAAGCAGCAGAGTAAGTAATGGCCCTTGCTGGTTTTTCATTCTTTTTTTTTTTTTGCTGTCATCTATGGGGTACGAGATGATTGACTCCTTTGTGCCTGACATAGTAGTGATAAAAGCTTGGCAACTATTTTATAAAAAGCCTGTGCCATGATTTTTATTATTAGCTCGAACCATAAGTTCTCGGCGTAACTCTCGCTGTAACCAAGTGTTGTTCATGACTAAGCGTTATTCAGCATATCAGACCATCCCGTTTTGCCGAGCCACACCCAAAATACGACGTTGCATTGTGCAGAGAAAAAGAAAGTCTCATGCTAATAAAATCTAGCTGCTGTTGTTTTTGAACAGGCATTCTTGTCTGAAGAAATGACAAGACCGACGTCAAAGCTAAACGAAAAAGGAGCGTTAAACCCGATTGAGTCAGGCAAGCTATCACCAGTACTGGAAATTGGGAAAGACACTGAGAAGTTTGAAGGGATAAAAGAAATAGGATTATTACACTTAAGAGGCTGCTTCTAACAGAGCCTCAGCTAATTGACGTTGGCTAAGATGTGTTGGGCAGGCGTTTCCCTTTATGTATCGTAGAGTCCTCATTTTTAACTACAAAATAATCAAGTTGGTGCGCTTCGCATTAGTGTGCTTCAGGCTTGACTTCACTATGTGTAGATGTGCCGCCCTTGTCATGGTTGGTTCACCAAAAACAATGCAATGCAATATGCTGCTGGACATGCGTGGATGGGTATCAAAACGTCTGGGACCCTGCCAATTTCTTTTCTCCATAAGCAGAACGCATGATACATGCATGAATAGCCGAATCATTGATAAATTTGTTTTTTCTGAAAATAAAAAAAAATGTTTATATTCAGGCCGCCCTCTAAACAGTACAATAACTGCACTACCTCAACTAAGGTCAAGGCAGTATTTAACAAGAACACCGCAAATATTGTCACTGGGTCGTGACGTGGCCGAAGACAGGAGACTTCGTGTCGGGATTTAACTGTTTATTTGGGCGAACCTGTGCCCGGTAAACGGAAAGTCCAATTACAGCAGCAGTCTTGCACAGATAGCAGTCTCGGACTGATAGCGGCGAACGGAGCGTCGGCCTTCGATCAACAACTGACAAGCGGCGAAGCGCGTCGGCATTTATACTCTTGCCGTCGAATGTTCTAGTGTTATCGCTGGCGCTGGCGTAGGTTCCAGAACAATCTGTACCGTTCGCACAGTGGTCGTGATCTTATCGAAATGATCTACTACAGTCCGGAAACTTCTCGTAAACTGCAGGCGCGGTTTGCGCTAAGAATCGTGTGGTGTTTTGGGACGATAACAAAAACTTGGTAAATGGAACGTGGCATTATCATGGCATCTAATGAGACAGAGAGTGACATTGTCTTGTTTATGACCTCAAGTGAACCATCAAAATATTATGCCCTAAATCTTTGGTGAGACTCAAGGCCAACTGAATCCAACTCTTTCTTGCGGCTCAAAGAGGACCGACGTCCTTGTACCGTATATAGGTAATATGAGCGCTCATTCACCTTTAACGATTGCCGGACGGGGAAGATTTTATCGCGACTAGAATTCGCTGTATTATTGTTCGTCTTATCCTCTCAGCATTTTGGCACTCCAATAATCACTAATGATGCAATTTTGCTTAGTTAATAGGTGTAGAAGGAGCCACAGCTCGCATAAGATTGATATTTATATCAAGGGGGCTTTATGGGTACAACGTGAACAGAAAACGTGACAAGAGCGATAACTTACTATTACAGTTTTTTTTTCATTCCGTGGTATTACGGGTAATTCGTGATCTAATTTATGCAACAGCAAGGGTAATTCACAGACAATATCGTCAAAACTGAACAATGCACTGAGCCGCGCCTTATAATCAGCTTTAATGCATGCCTGCACGTTTCTACAGAACTAGCAACTTGTAATATGATGCCTACAAATGGTAATGAAAGCAAGAAATTGAGGAAAAAAATCGAAAAAAAAATATGTAAGTGAAAGACACCCCTCATTTAAGTGAGTCAGCAGGGTTTAATGTAATCTGTGATAGATCACTTCTCTAAACGTACCCAAAGCATCTTTGTTTATTTTCAAGGAGATATAAACAGGTTCCGGTTTACAGTGTTATGGTTCCTTTATTGAGTCTCGTGACTTACATTATGTTCTACTGTTTTAGACCAATAATATCTGAGCATGTGCTCCGGATCATAGTCGCTTGGTTACCTACGTAGTACCTCTAATTTCTGTATCCGGTGCTGGCTTCGTTTCAAGAATTTTTATACGAAAAAAATTGGCAGATCCCACGTACAGTGGGCATCGGTAATATGCGAAGCACGATTGAGAAAGGTTTATATGTCACCTTAAAGTCAGCATAACGTTACGAGGTGGAGGTAAATGATGCCGTACATGACTTCCCTATCATGATTATCATTTTTGGATGTGTCGTTTACCTTCGTCATTTATTCATGTCACGTGATAACAAATTTATTATATGTGAAGCTAGCGAAACATCCGCGAGCACGCTATGAGCGTGGTATGTTGTCATGTTGTTACATGACACGCGTGTCAGGATTATCATGTTTGCACCAGTCATATATTTTTTCATTCATCGCCATTCCGTAGCACTAATTTTGGTATATGTGTAGCTAGCAAATGGGCGGTGAGCGCATCCTGAAGGGCTCAATATACTCCAATGTAGCGTTGACGCGCGCGCACGCTGGGCAGAGCGACGCTACGTTAGAAAAATGTGAGCACTTCATGGTCTGACGCCAGGCGCGACCAGCGTTCTTCGTCGCGGCCCGACGGCAACCAGCGCGAAATGCGACATGCTGCATTTCGCGCCGATGCGTTACCCAGACAACACTGCGTCTTCCTCTTTTTGTGACGGAGCGACGCCGGACGCGCTGAGACGCGCATAAGTCAAAGCAAAGCAGTGCGGTGGGCGCCTGTGAGTACATGGAAGGACCGGTGCCTGTCGTGGCAACGCTGATGGTAGTGTTGGTGGTAAAAAACATTTATTTCAGAAAAAGACTACTAGAGAGTGCCGACGTGGCCCATCGGCGTGCTAGAGTGGCAAGACCCTATTCCGGGACGCCAGTGGAGCTGGAAGCTGCCCGTGCGCGCTCCACCAAGGAGCGTTGTGCAGCCGAGGTAGAGCAGCTGAGCAGGTGCTCCTCCCGAGCCTCTCTAGTTGGGATAGGAAAAGGGGGTGAGAAAGGGACAGGATTAACTGGGCACGATGCTACGACGTGATATGTGTCGGCGAGGACATGACAGGTCGAGTAGGTGCCATTGGTCGAGTAGGTGCCACTGATAAAGGTGTTTGTCTGCAGGCGGCGTAGCTGTCGTTCGTCCGCTTTCTCCAAACCGCGTGCGGGGTCCGGGTAGAGGCGGCGCGAAGCCCGGTAATAAGCCAAAATTTTGCGAAAGCGCGTCAGGTTGGTATTGCCAGATTCTGTCTCGGGACATGGAGGGGCAAAGGCCCGGACAGGAGAAGCGCGGGCAGCGGCATCAATTGCCGCCTCGTTTCCGGGCAGGCCCGAGTGGCCTGGGGTCCAGACTATATGAATGGGATGAGGGTTAAAGCTCCAAGAGGCTGCCTATAGCAGGCTAGCCGCCAGCGGGGCAATGGAATCCTGAAGGTACTGAGAACAGGCCGAGTGCGAGTCCATCAGGATGGTGCGTGAGGCAGGGTGAGAGGCGGCCAAAGCTGTGGCAACCTCTTCAGCGTGCGTTACTGTGTCTGCTCTAAAGGAGAGGCCATCTACGTGTTTGCCCTCTGTAATCACGGCAGCCGTGAAATGACCCGAGGGGGAGGGACCCGAGATGTCCACGAAGAAAACACCAGTATGATCGGAGTGTCGTGTATGAAGGGCCGCGGCGCGTGCTAGTCTAGGGCCAGGATGGAGGTCGGGGTTCATATTACGGGGTAGAGGTTCCACCCATAGCTTTTGACGCCAGAGCTCTGGTACCGGATGCAGAGGGTCTAGGTCAGATATCGGGTTAGGACCAAGTCTGTGCAACGCTGACGTGACGGGACGAAATGAACGCCGGCGAGCAAGCGCACCGCGTCACGTCGAAATGTATTGGCGCCTTGACTGTGGCATGCATTCATTTTCCCACATGACACGCATCTCATGATGATCATGTTTGCACCAGTCACTATTACCTTCGTTATTTATTGGCGGCACGCAATACCAAATTTGGCATATGTGAAGAAAGCGAAACGGCCGCGAGAGCATCATCAATGTGGCATGTAGTCATATTGTTTCATCACACGCATGTCATGGTTATCATGTCTGGATGTGTCACTTGCCTATGTCGTCCGTTCGCGTTGCTTAATACCTAGTTTCGTACATGTGAACCTAGCGAAACGGCCGCGAATGCATCATGAGCGTAGCGTGTAGTCATGTTGTTACATGACATGCATCTCATGTTTATCAAGTTTGCACTAGTATCATGACATGCTCTTCATGATTTGCAGGGTCCGTCGCTTGTGTTTGCATGCAATCATGTCATACCATACCATTTTTGCAACAGGCCATGTGAACGAAATCACCGCAAAAGCTACAGGACCATGAAATTTAAATCATGACATTCATGACATACATGTCATAATTTTCATGTTGTGACTAGTCAAATATGTTCTTGATACAGTAATGTTATGGTATACCAAGTTTGGCATCGATACCATTATCGAAACGGCCAAAGAAAGGAAGGAAGGAAAATGGGAGGGAAAGAACGGCAGGGAGGTTAACCAGCCTATAGGCAGCCGGTTTGCTACCCCGCCCATGGGAGGGGATGGGGGAGATGAAAGATAGAGA